AAAAAAGGGGGGTGGGGGGGGGGGGGTGAATAAAAAATGCTGAGGTATTTTCCTGACACTCATCAGCAGTAAAGAAGTGGCTTGAATAAGCTAAGAAATGTCCTCAACATTACAGAACAAGTCCAGTTGAATGTGAATAACTACTACTAGCTGTTTCACTGTTTTACAATACATTTGTATTTTGACTTTGTTTCTCCATTATAAACTTTTCAGTAACGCAAGTTTTTCCTTCCTTTTCTAACCCATTTTACACACATACGGATATACAATGTATGTTGAAAAGATTGTGGAACCTGACCATTACATTTATATAATCTTGTTGGATGAAAATCATAGGTATTACTTTGGAACTGACCCTCCTTTGTAGCTTTAACAGCCTCCACTCTTCTGGAAAGGTTTTCCACAAGATTTTGAAGTGTGTATGCGGGACTTTGTGCCCATTCATCCAAAAAACTAAATTTGTGAAATTAAATACAGATGTTGAATGAGAAGACCTGGCTCACAATCGGTGTTCCAATGCATCCCCAAAAGTTTTCTGGGTTGAGTTCAGAGCTCTGTCCAAGCCACTCCTCCACACCAAACTCAAGACACTTACCATGGATCAGACTTTTTTCCATATAGTGTACCTAGTTTAATTTTCTATCACAGTGTTTCACAGCCACAAAATCACCAAGATCAATATAGTTGCACAGTGCATAGGAAAGCCCAGGGGACGATTGGCGCATGCGAAACTGGCTCTGGAAGCATCATATTGAGGGTGGTACGTCTGAGTCTTACTGGTGCTATCCCTAACGTGCTGCTATGAGTTTGAAAGACCTGGGGTACCCTTGGGCACTCTGAAGAGAGCAATAATGTGGCACATCCTAGCAACCTGTAATCTTGGCAACAGGATCCATAAGGTCTAAAGTTGGCTACACATTACAACTAAACAACAAGCCATTTGATTAGTATCCAATCAGGCAGACTCTTAAGCTGGCCATATAGCATTAAAATTACTTTAGAAAACCATTATTATTGGAACATTTGTTCGATCTTCTAATGCTTAGTGGGGTCTAATCTACATTGGATGGAGGGGGATGGAAAATATTTCTTGTTTCTAATCTGAACAAACTAAATTCTAACTGTGAATGTGATTTTTGTTCAAAAAAACCCTACTAATTAGCATGTGCTAGATGCAAAAGAAGCCTGTTTAATATGTCTGAGATACCATTCAAGTAGCCAGTCTGGATCATATTTTAAGGGCTTTTGAATTAATGTAGTTGACTCAATGATGGTAAAAACGAATGCTTTGACTAACGATTTCATATGAACGTACAAATGAAATTCTTTTCTGTAGATATAAAGGAGATTGTAATGTCCATGGTCAGCTTGAGTCTTTCACACAACCTTCTTTCGATGAATAGTGCTACTGTAGAATGGACATACAAACACTCAGAGTCTGCTCCCGTATTAAAACTTAATTCCACCATAAAACTATATTTAGTTGGCTTCTGTGGTGGAACCACACGCCAGCTCCTTACAATACAATTATGAACAAAATATAAACCCAACTGCAAAAGATTGCCACTTGCCTTGTGGTGGCAGAGGCAGCAACTACTCTAGAGAAGCCTTAAGAGGAATAAAAACCTGGCAGGTGAATTAACTTTCTGGTTCCTACATAAAAGTGAGATATCAGTTTTGGTTGCAATTGGCCTTCAGCTCCTCCAATACACTTTAAATGCCGATTTACTATTATTAGCAACTACTGGCGCTTTCTCAGATCCTGCTTATTGGTTTAACCCCTTCCATCACAGCAGGCTTAGCAGCAAGTATACCAACAATCCCAATGAGTGTCTGAGCACAGAAGGCAGAGGGAAACTGCAGTGTTTTCAGCTCCATGCCTGCAAAGCGTTCAATGCAGCATTGACAAAGAGATAAGTATTGTTGTTGTTACACTTCGCGCAGCCTTTCTCCCAGAGTACTGCGTTTGGCACATGAGGGTGGGCAGCCTGCAGGAATATAATACGACCTGCAAGGCTTTGCATTGAACGCGTCCTTCTTGATTGTTGTGCTGGGAGCCTTGCTGTAATTTGCTGCTCTGTACTATTCCCTAGATGTCTGCCTTATCTCATAGCAGCACATTGGTTCCCCGCATCTCTCATCAGCAGGGCAGTGTACACAGCAGCAGAAGAAGAAGGATGCTAAACACTGCAGCCTGGACACTTTACTACCAGCAGCTTAACCCCTGCTCGGCTGCAGGCTGACAAATCCCTGATACTTACTGCTCCTCTGATGCTGAAAACGACTCACTGGGGCTGATTTATTAAAGGAGTTGGGAATCTTTACAAATAAATTGTGGGAATATTCACTCCTATTATCCAGTCATGTGAAAAGCAATTTTCTGCATTTGCACATGATTGAATAATTGAAGTTAATATTCACACAATTTATTGTGTGAGGATTCTCAACTCCTTTAGTAAATCAGCCCAACTGTGTGGCATCGTTAATAAAGAGAACCGTGTTGTAAGGCAACATTTTCCAGAACCGGCTTTCTTTTGTCTGTCCATTCTCCGCTGCTGAAATCTGATTTATTATTGGTCGCCTTGGTTACTTCCAATAGCTTCTCTTTGCACAGCTACCCTATAGGCTTATGCAATGTACAGAGCTGTAATATAGCACACATGTAATATAACAATTATGACACCTGTGACACTGGTCTTTAATAATGTAAAGAGCAATGTACAAAGTGCAGCAGCCAACAGCAATTGATTAGAAATCACCATTATTTGTTTTCACGCACTCTAAATTGCTAAAAAACTGAACCGAATGGTTGCCATGGGTTAATGAACATAATGGCATATCAGAGAAGCCCTACAGCCATGACAGAATAAATACATAGATGGATAGACTGGCAATGGATGCAGACATGAACAAGAACATATCAAGTTTTAGTTCTGCTGTTTGTGCTAGTTAGCAGTATTTGACTGTAGTACAGATGACCTTCAATGCTCACCTCCTCTATCACATCCACTTCTGGAGTAGTAGTAGCATTTTCACCTGGGGTATCTGCTAGGTTTTCAGCAGCTGCTTCACTTTCCACTTCAGCAGACATCCTTTGCCATGCTATTTTTCCAGGTCACCCTGCTGCAGTGTCTGGAAGTCCGATCGGCCAAAAGACAAGAAAGCATCATCACTTGGAGCATGCAGCACCCAGGCAAATCTGCAGGCTGCACCCCATCTCTAATGCAGTTCTTCAGTCCTGTACATGAAGAAAGAGCTATAGATCCTCTCCCCTCCCTGCTTCACCCTCATCTGCAGACCATAGGTAGAAGAGAGGAAGGAGACAGCTAAAATCCCTCCACTGGATATCCAAGGGTCACCTTATTTGCAGGACGAGAAATGGCAGAGTGGGCAAAGTGGTTGGTACCTAATTGCAGAGCTGAAGGTAACTTCATGAAAAACGCAGCAGCTGGCTAAATGATCTTGGCTCCCTGGAGATGTGACAGGGTAAAGCAAGCTTTTTTTCTCCTTCTGATGTCTCAGTTGTACGCACACCCCCCTTTTCATCCTGAACAATAAATCACAAAGCTGGAGGTATCAGCATACACAAGCTCACTACAGTCCATCATTGCCTTAGAGCAGTTAGTGTTTACCTGCTGGAACAAAACATGCTGCACCATCAATGACTTCAGATGCATGCAACTCCAGATGCAGAGCCCTCCCCTCATAACCAGATCTGCTGCACTGTATGCTCCATTTAATCCAGCAAGCAGCTCTTTAGGTGCACTCTAAGGGCACTCATAGGGCTCCAGGTATGTTAGTCCTGTTAAATCCCCATCATCAACCTTCCAGATGCAGACTGTCTCTTCCCTGCATTGATGCTGAAGGCTCAGACTTTTTCTGGTCTGCAATAGTACTCACCAATTATTCCAGTCTTGTTCTATTTATGGCTACGATGATGTACAGGCAACAAGAAAATCCAGTTGGGAGTTGCAGGTGGGAATCAAACGCTGGCACTGCCGTGCTTTCTACAGGCAGGTCACAGGCAGGGAGAAATGTTTCATGTGAGGTCAGCAGAGATAATGGAAAGGGACGAAGACAGCAGACATCTTTCTTTAAAGTGCTGAAATCAACCAAGGGCATAATTGGAGATCAGAGCAGGGATATCAGGAAGTACAAAGAGGTGGCAAGCTTTGAAGGTGAGATGAAGAACACGCCTTGGAACATATCTACTGGGAAAAGACAATCTTAGTCTTTGCATTTAATTACTGTCTATGCCGTGCTAGATGTTTTGAACAGAAGTAATGATGCAAACACTTCTGCTGGTGTATTGCAACATCCATGTTTTTTTTACTTTTTTTTAGTAATTTATTTATATTTTTTATTTTTTTCCCCCCAACTATTTGAATTTAATCAGTATGAGACAGCACGGTATACCATTCAGTCTGTTAAAATATGATGGCCATACATTAGGGGATCAGATATTAGGGTGATCTTTACTTAAACCTACTAGAGATAAGTGAACAAGAGGGTTTTCGTTTTTTTTAGAAAATAAGGTGATTTCAACAAGATTTAGCCATTTCTGCAAAATGCAGTGGAGTCAATGGGGAGAGTAAAATTAACTGATCCCCAACACTGAAAGATGGATTGAATACTCACCTTTCCCGGTTTCCACGCCTCTGATCAGTAGAAATAGCCCCCAGAAGTCTGCTGTAAAAGCAAGTCTTCAAGGAGTATTCTGACTCCGATCATTGTGATAGCGAAATATATCCCTTGCTGAGACCTCTATGCCTGGCCTGTATAAGCAGATATACTCACTGCGGACAATCCTCGTCAGATAGCTGAACTCGTCAATACCGATTCATTCAAAAGAGGTGTTTATTCTTTACATCAAGATTACAGCAGATGATAGGAACAGCAGTTGAACGGTTATAGTATTGTGCGGTCAGAAAATGATGCCTTTCCTACGTACTGTGCAGATTATATGTGTGTCCTGTTACATGTGGCTTGCTAGCTTTGCCATGACACAGGAAGTACTGCACACAGGAAGAAGGAAGGGGCGTACACTAGGGGGAAATACATCGTCACATGAGGAATAATTACAGAAAGCATGTTTGTTACAACAAAAGGCCACTAGATGGCAGCATAGGATAACACATTAATTTAGCTATGAGAAAATAGTTAGGCAAATCACACTATATAAATTCTAACCTATATAACAATGCTAATATTAACTGAGGCTATGCATCTCATATTCTATGTCCCTATTGGGGCGGCACAAGGAGTATCAACCTCCCTGACTCCCACAGCTCTCACTTATTCCTCCTGCTGACCTCCAGATTATTGCAGGAGTCAATGTACATTGAGGTCAGCAAGGGAACCAGTGAGAGCTGTGGGAACCCAGAAGATGAATTCTTTTTTTAATACAGAAATAAAACACAAAATATAGGAAAGTAAAATGTAAACATTAAAAAAAATATAGCGACAAATAAAAAATGCACAAAAAAAGGGAAAAATGCAATATATAGAACACTAAATGCAATAAGCTATAAAGCTCTAAATACACCACCTGAAGAAAGTTTTGTCAAATCAGCTCAATGAGAGAAAGTGAGAATTTCCACTGTGGTGAAATTGGTAATTGCTATGGCGAATGCCTTTTTGCAAGCTGAGGAGGAAGTGGGTGAGGTGGTAAAGGAGACACTCGCTTCCACCAATTCCGATACTTCCTCTCAGAAGGATCTCTCTTTCCCCACCCTGTCACAGAAGATGTTTGACACTATTGCCATGCTGAATGATACAGTCATAGAATGCTTAGCGATTGATTTGCCTATGCAGGATCTCGCTATATTTCCTAATATGGGTTCTTTGAAGTAGAAAAGACCTGCTAGGACTTTTCCTTTACACTTAATGAATAATTTTTTGTTTGAGGATTGGCAACATCTTGAAAAATAGTTTTCTTCTCGCAAGCGTTTTGGGTTACAGTACCCCTTAGAGGAGTCCATCCTTAAGAAGTGGGTGGTTATGGAGGTTGATGTGGCCATTGCAATTCTAAACAAGTTCCATACCGTGCTGGTGGGGGATTTCCTGGCTTTTTAAAGATCCAGTGAACAAGTGTTTGGAGTGCTTGTTTGAAACCTCTTTCGTCATGATTGGGCCTACGCTGCTACCAGCCATAGTGGCAAAGGAGATTTGTCAGACGCTGATGGTCTGGACAATAAGGTTGGCAAGAGACTCGAGTTCCAACTTATCAGATCCAGAGATGTTGTGGCACCTGGAGTTACTTTGCGGGGCCCTGCACTTTTGCACGGATGGCCTTGCTGAGGCTCTTTGTTAAGTTGTCTGTGCAGATTTCTCTGGCTGGTCTGCGGAACTGGCTTGTAAGAAGCATCTGGAATGCATTCCCTTCGCTTGTGCAAGTGGTGGAATGCCTTTTGGCTTTGTTTCTCACATCCTTCCATGTGTTTTACAACTTCCAACATACCTCTATCACCCCTGTATCTAGAGGTTCTGGATAGTGTGTTACAGCAGCTACTCGAATCAGGAGTCATCACCCCGAGTCCCGAGGGGGAGCACTTTCTGGAATTTCCGATCTTTTTACGATTCCCAACCTGAAATAGGGTTCGCTCCATCTTGGACATGAAGGTACTCAATCAGTACCTGCAGATTGCCTCTCTTCACCAGGGGAGTTCCTTGCCTTGGTAGACATCAAGGATGCCTTCCTACATGTTCCCATCTTCCCTCTTTTCAGTTTGTGGCCCTTCGCTTTGGTCTGTCCCCCATGGCCCCCAGGGTCTTTACCATGGTCCTGGCTCCAATTCTTGCTCTCTTATGATCTCAGGGAATCCAGGTTGTGGGCTATTTGTACAACCTGCTCCTAAAAGTTTTGTCTGCTCTGGCACTGTGGCAGGATGTCTGCCAGATAATTCACATGCTGGAACACTTTGAGATCTGAATCTTCAGGAGTCTTTGTTTGAGCCAACTCACAGACTGTAATATCTGTGTCTGACCTGGATACGGCCCAGGACAAGGTTTTTCTTCCTCTGGAATAGTTACAGAACCTCCAGTCTTAGGCAAGGGATTTGAGATCCTGGAAGTGTTCCTTGGTGAGATTTACCATGAGGGTTTTCGGGTCTGATGGTATCCTTCTTCTAGACGGTTCCGTATGCTCAGTTTCACACCAGGCTGTTATAACTGATCATTCTGTCTTTGTGGGACAAACTGACTTAGTCTTTGGACTGTACTTGGCACCTGTCAGCGGAGATGAGGAAATTGCTCTCTTGGTGGATCACAGATCCAGCGGTGGATGCCTGGACTCCTTCCTTCCACTGCATTGGACGGTGTTCATGACAGATACCAACGTAGTGAGCTGGGAAGGAGTCCTAAGATCCTCAACGTTGCAAGCAACCTGGTCACCGGCAGAGTCAAAATTGTTCTGTAACTGGGGGCAATTTTTCTCTCGCTTCTTCGCTGGACATCACTGTTGCTCTCCCCCTTCAGTGTTGGCAGAGGCTTCGGGGATCCGAGTGGACACCATCCATCTGAGGATCCATCTGCCAGTGCCCAGTGTGGAGGAGAGAAGCTTTCAGGAGGCTGAGCGGGGCAGGCTGGTGCGGGAGAAGAGAGCTGTCAGCTGTCACAGGAGGCCGACCTCTCCTCTCGCACCACCCTGCTCATCCTTCTGTGACAGGCGGAGGACTCAGGATGGAGAGCGGGTTACAAGAGCTCAGTGTTCTTTAATAACTGAGGACATAGTATGCTTATTGTGTCCCCAGTTATGAATGAACAGGAAGTTCTCTACATCACTTCATTCATGGTTGTGTACATAGTAACTCATACTATAGCCACAGGTTATGAATGAACTGGAGCACTCAGTACAGTGGCTAACTGTTCATTCATAACAGGGGCTGCAGAAAAAGAGATTGAGGACTCTTTTTCTATTTTGAAAGAGAAATATCTGGGGTCTGTTTAGACCCCTGATATTTCCCTAAAGCCCCCGTCAGTAAAGTAAAAAATAAAAAGAAATAAATAAAAATGTAAACTATTTTAAAAAGGTTGGAAAAAAATCAGCTTCGGTTTCAGCTTCGGTTTTGAAAAAAAATTAATTTCGGTGCATCCCTAATAGAAACCTTTACCTGTCCTTTCCCCAAATCTCTAAGATACAAAGCATTTTGAATTCAGTGAGGGTTTACACCGACTTTAACAAACCTAAAATATGTAGGTTTCACCTCGATCCCATGGTAGTGGCAAACCCGCATCTCATCCCTAGTTGAGAATAGTGAAACCAGGATCAGAGTAGCACACAAAAGAGATTTTTCTTGCCAATAAAGGTAATATGAGGGAGCCCTGTGATGCCTGATTTTGGGCAGGCTTTGTACTTTCAAAAGCATAAAATTGCTACAAGGTTTGCATTTAAGGAACGCTCCAGGAAAAAAAACATAATCTTCAGGCAGCTAGAGGTGCTCATATCTGCAGCAGCTTCTAAAACCCTGGTGCTATAGTCGAATCTGGGATCTTTCTGGCAGTTAAAGCTCTTGCACTGCCTGGTAGCATCTTTAGCCTCCTGTACATTCTTTTTGGCCATTGATGCAGCACAAGTGACAGACAATAAGAATGTATGGGGAGCATGCACCAAGAAGAGTTTGCTGATTAGCCTGGGATATACAGCATTAGCAGCAGGGCTTTGAGGGTGCTGCAGGTATGTCCACCCCTAGGTTAGTCATCCTAGGAGACTCAGAAAGGATTTACCATATGGTCAATTTGTAATGGTATGGAGAATTTAAGTCTACTGAGCAAGCTTTAGTAGCACAAGCCACAGTGATGTTAGAGAATTTAGTGAAATTAGGTTATTCATGCCATAAGCTTTGAATAGGGCACATTCTCTTGATAGGACATCCTTTTTAAGGCTTAATACGAAACAATCCCCCAAATGTATGTCTGTGACTCTTACCTTCTCCAAATGGACCCCACAGATTCAGAGGATTGTAAATAATATTTTGTTAAGTGGACCCAAAATTGAAGACCAACCTGTTGTTGAATGCAAATGCTCACACAGCATCAGAAAAGCATTGATTCCTGCTGAATTTCATAGAGAACAGCTTACCAATGGGGAACCAATTGGCTTTCTGGGTGCCAAACACCTGAGGGTATATAACTTTCGTCATTGTGCTCGGTGTAATTATGTTATTGGAACAATTACTTTTCACACCCATGTACTGGGAATAAATTCCTTATTCGGACATTTGTAAACTGTTGAGATCTATTTGATTAAATGCAGGTATGGCCTAGGTTATGTCGGTAAGACCAATAGAGATATCAGGATTTATATCAAGGAGCATTGTAGTGAGATTAGGAAGTCTGACTTCACTCAGGGATGAATGAAGAAACAGATCTGATATTTTTTTTTAAATAATGAATCCAGATCAAACAAATATATATTGCCCAGATTAGTATTTCTTAAAATTTTTGCCCAAGCACTTACAGTCATCATGTTTCCAAACAGCTCCAATTCTCTCAGCTCTGCTTCCCTGAACTTCCTGTCCAGCACAAGATCACAAGGGACAGCACAGTCTCCAGCAGCTGTCCATCTGCTAGCTTGGAAAAGGGAGTAGCTGGGGAGGGAGAAACAAGAAGCAGGGGAGAGGCTTGCCATGCTGTGCCTGCGTGTTTGTGGAGACACACACAGTTTACTTGCACACACAAGGGTGGCTCTATAGGATTCTGCAAGGGAAAGGTGCCACCCTAAAAAAGCAGGCTTTCAGGGCAGGGCTCAGGGGACCAGCTGATTCTTCAGGAAACTAAAACGTTTAAACATCAAGGAGCAGCATTCACTGTAAATGATTTTATCAGCTTTTGAAATAGTTAAACAAAACTTATTGGGGGGCATTTATCAAAGCTGGAGCAGACAAAATCTAGAGCAGGTTTGCACTGCAACCAATCAGCTTCTATCTCTTATTTTCAAATCTCAACTTAGCAAACTGAAGAGAGAAGCTGATTGGTTGTCATGGGCAACTGCTCCAGTTCCTGTCTGCTCCAGTTTTGATAAATTCCCCCCATTGACTCACTTAAGGTTTCCGAACTTTTGATTACCTGTTCAGCCTCTTCCTGGGGAGTTGGAGAAGCTTGTCCAGTTTTAATTTTTGCTGTTTGGTTTGTATAGATGTATTTTTACTGTGAATTTTCAATTCTTACCATTCCATTTATCCCTTTCAGCTTCTATTTACATTACGGATGAACATCTATCCTATTCATATGCCTTGTGTCAATCCTTTCACTGCTGCCATCTACCTGCTTATGTTGTTCGTTGCTTAGCACTTGCTGTCCGTTCTCTCCCATGTCAGATGGCAGCTCAGCCCCTGATTGGCAATATTTGGTCAGGGTTGGTTGGCTGCATCAGAGGAATTGCAGACTGGAGGTGGCATTAGGCTGGCACCAGGACTGATGGCGGATATGACGTTACTATGGCCGACTTAGGGAAGACGCACCCACCTAATCAGGGATTGGACTTTTCAGCGGTGTGCTTGTATGTAAATATATTTTGTAGGGATGCAACAATACCATTTTTTCAAGACCAAGTACAAGGACTTTCCCTTAGGTACTTGCCGATACCAATTGCCGATAGTTTTTCTTAAAGGGACATATGACATTTTTTCTAAAACAAAGACACTAATGATTTTAGGGCAGTTTCTTTATCGTTATGAAGAACTGTAACCCAATCCATGATTAAAAGTTTTCTTTAGCTCTTGGCGCTAATGGCTGCCAGCTGGACAATCCACTTGCTGTTGCTCACTCAAAGTTTTCAACAGTTTATCACAGTTTTTTTTACACAGACTTGAGGGGCTGCTCATCCAAGGCTCTGGGGCTTCCACCACGAACATAGAAAACAAAAGGGAACAGAGCGCCACCTCCGTGTGTAAAATCGTTTATTACAATAAATAAAACAAGGGATAAAAGTACTCACAAACAAACGTTTTCATCAGGCTTTAACAACAAACGAGAGGCCACACTGTCTGTTGACCCAACATTGTATCCCCCCGACTATGTAACACGGTAGTATCCGGTCACATCACCGTCCACCGACCGCAGTCAGCCAAGATTGACGCGTTTCAGGGGCAAGCCCCCTTCCTCAGAGTTGTTCAGGAATAGAGAATGGCAATCAGCAATAGAGGACTACAGATCACATCAATCCTGGGCTGCATGTGGTCTCACCAGAGCTGCGTGCAGATCTCACCTGGGCTGCGCGCGGCTTCTCACCAATGAATGAAGAAATAATGTCACCAGCACACCATAGTAGTAAAGCAATAGTCCATTTACTGACACATTGCCATTCGATGCAAGCGCTTTCAGGGCCTCAGGGGGTCCCCTTCATCAGGCTCAGAATGACAATGGTCACTACGAGCACCCACCTGTATGGGTTTCTACCGGTAAGGAGTGCAGCAAGACCTCTGGTTCTGAGTACGGCTTCTCACCAAGCCTGCGTTCACGTCTCACCAGGGCTACCTTTGGGTGTCACCAGGGCTATGTTTGGGTGTCACCAGGGCAGAATGTTGGAATTACCAGGGCTGTGTTTGGGTCCCAGCGGGGCTGCGTTTGGGTCTCACCAGGGCTGCATGTGTGGCTTTCCAGGGCTAAACGGGTGGGTGCCGGGCGCTGGGCTCTCCAGGGCTGTACGGGCGAATGTGGGGCTGTCCAGGGCAGTGCCGGTCTCGGGAAGGAGGTGTGAAACCGGACCGCCACTGCCAAAGGCAGATATCACGAGGTCCTCAGCAGGCTGCCTGAGTTCCCCAACAAGCGCGGAACTTCAGGCAGCCAAAGTTATTTAAAAATTTAAAGAGCTGGCATCGGCGCTATGCATTGGGGCATTTTCATGAGTACAAATACTCATGAAAATGCCCCGTATTGGCACCGATATCGACACTAGATGCTGAGCTGTGTTTATAGGAAGATCTTTAACAACCAGTGTCTTTTGCCTTTATACCTCTATGTTTATCCTAATGAAAGTGGCAAATGTTAGATTATTGGAGGAAATGTGACGTCTGCAGTGGCAAAGGTAAAGGGTGCCTGCAGTTTAGCCAGCAAAGTGCCTGTATCTACTGGAAGACTGCACAGTACAGGGCTGGAACACGGTGTTACAGCAGTGATCTCATGGTGATAAGCAGCCTCTGCAGACTTTTTTGATTGTCTGTTTGAGAATTCAATTATCTCTGTGTGCACGGAGCCTGTCTGTGTACACAGCCGTCAGCTCCCCCACTTCTATGAGTTTCTGCTGGAAGAGGACCTCTACATCCATTAGATAAATCCTGCCTAGTACATTGATAATCAAATCCTCTTTTCACACAAACTATTTCAATTTAATATGTGCCCTACATAAGGATAAAAAAAAATATAGATATATTTATGATCAAATTAAGAAAAATTATGACGCTGATTCAGCGCTAAACTAACTCTGTTGCCACAAAACAACATAAGCAAAGAGCTCCCTGCAGAAAAGATTAGTAATATTTACCTGTTTCGCAGCCCATATATAAGATCTTTGCTCTCTTGCTGAGCTAAGCCAGCTGACAATTCTTCTGCCGCAATGTCATTACAGGACACAGTAGTAAGAAAGCTGCTAGTGGAATAAACTACAGGGCTAAGTGACAGGTTCTCTTGTAAGAACACTTCACCTGTTTGGTTGTACTCACTTGCTGCTCCATTCCTCTGTCAGAGCCCTTGGTAAATAAATAACTGGTCCTTCTAGGTATGGAGGAGCATGTGACCTCCTCCCAGGATGCACTTCTCAGCCACGAGTGGCTAGTCACCAAGCCCGAACACTGTCAAACAAGGAGGAGGATGTTTACCCTGTGTAAGCTCCAACACCATCCAATATGGAGCTTACTAAGTGTTAGGTGCTCTGACGGAGCAACAGAGAGGCAGGGAAGCAGAAGGAAAGTGAATATAAGGTTGGGGTGTTCTTCTTACAAGACCATTCCAAAACCATGGGCATTATTGTCCATTATGGCCACTAGATGGAGCTGAGGGGCATAGGAAATAAATACTGTCTGTGTTCATCATCTCCATCTAGTTGCCATAATGTATTATTACAACAACGCTATACATTCGAACTGGGAAAAATATAGTAAGCAGATTTGTTTTTGGCATTATTGGCCATAACAAACGTTCACATCTATTCGAAGGTCCCTGCTAAATAGAACTCTTAAAATCTAATTAGAAAAAAAAATCTAACAATGTTTCCTATGTAACTAAATGTGTGTGAAACTATTGGCCTCTCTCCTTTTAGAGAATGGGACAATCGTTATTATCATATGAAGGTCCTGTTGTTCTTCATCCCCTTTTTTGTCTTCACCATCTTTTACCATCTCGTTATTTCCCAATTGGTTTCCTCCATTTACTCTTTTGGGAGCCCCTTATCCGATCTGCATTGATGGGGTCTCCAGAAGCCCCGTCACTGTAAACCTTTTTTCCTCCAAATTCTTCTTCTTTTGTTCACTTATTGCTCTCATCCTTCTTTGGTGTTCAGTCTCCTCTCTGAAATACCATCAATACACTCTCTATTTCACAGCTGAAGTGTTATCTATTTGCAGTTTGTCCAGATGATTTACCAACCTTGAGCTCTCTCCAAGCTCAATTAACTTCTATTCTATCAGCTCTCACCCTCTATACCTAATAGTAGGGATGCACCGATACCGGTACTAGTATCGGTACCGGTGCTGAGTATGCTCCCATACCTTCCTCAATTCGGAACTTCCGGTCACAGGAATATTTACTCTGACCGGCATTGCCCTAGGGGGAACATGGAGCCGGCTTCCAGGGCAATCAGGAAGCAGGGTGGCGGGTCATTACTCGCCTCCCGGCTTCCTGATTGGCCGGGAGGCTGGATATTTGCTGATTGGCTGGGAAGCCATTTTTTCTTCCTGCCAATCACAATCGAGCTGTCCAAACAACATGCAGCCGGCTTCCTGGGCAATCAGGAAGCCAGGTGGCATGTCATTTCGGAGCAAAACTCTGTACAGGAAACAACTTTTCTTTTAGAATAGAGCATATACTGTGCAAACAGAGATTAAATAAAAGTTATGCTACGTGAATGAGAAACATGTAAGAAATATAATGTAGGTGTTATACCATTGTGGCTGCAAAAGTTGATCTATATGCACACACTGTATGTGTGATTTTCTTTTCAGTCATCTTAGAATACAGACTTTTATTTTCTTTCAACCTTTCAACACACTAACAAGATAAAGTACGGACTACACGCTCATACAATGTATGATATTCTGCCCGAACAGCACTCCTCCACTCTAACTACTGCCCCAAACAGCCACTCTAACTGCCACGCATGCGTAGTCTACCGGAACGCATCGGTTTGACAGGCGGAAGAAGCTTGCGTTCCACCAAGAGGAAATGACGTCGGATAACATGTCAAGCCGGAAATGTTGTCCATGTGGTTCACAGTCGTTCTCGGGGATTGGTGAGTGGGTTAGAAATCTGTGTCTAAAGCTTTGTCAGGGACAAGAAACGGAATTCTGAATATTGTATGGAATTATTTCATAATATGAAGGGATGTGCGTGCTCAACTACATGTCTGTCTGTGAACCGAAAAGAGATGGGTTCGGTATATATACAACTTTCAGTGTGATAAAATTTAGCCTTAGGGATTGTTATATTATTAAATTATATTTAATGTACATTGTGATATAATATCAGTATATGTGCTATGCTTAGTATACTATACAATAAACCTAAATAATAAACATAGTAATGTTGCTGCAGTGACAGCGGAGGTGGGAGGAGGGCAGAACGTTTATATGTTATAAATGGGAAGCAGTAAAGTGCTGTTGTTTAAATTTGTGGTGTGATACAAAACTAATATGGGTAAAAAAAATAATAATAAAACAACAATAAAAAAAGTGACATCAAATGTCTGATATAAGCATTAGAGTACAGGTAAACCTTAACATAATGACATTTAGCTAGATCACTGAATATCAACCAATCTTTGTCAATCAGGGTTGCTCCTGAGGTGGCTAGGGGTTCCTTTAGCAGGAAGCAAGGACAAACTGATCTTCTAACTGCACAGACCATCATCGCAAGGGGGAATTTTCCAGTAACCCTTAGGAATGAGTTCTGGTATGGACTAAACTGCAGCTCATCCAAACACAGAAGAAAGCCATCAGTGCCTGCCCATTCAGCGGCGGCCCGGGGCATTCCTTGCCACGGAGCTGCACTTAAAGGAGCAGCATGTTGGTGACATCATTAACCTTATATGGCCAAATGGCCACATTAGGTCAATGTCATTGATCATTAATTACTGACTTTGAGTTCTGATTAACGTTCATATTTGTGATGTACATGTCGCCTTTCTTTTGTACTAGACGTCCTGATAGAATGTCAAGATGTTGTCGCGACCTAAGCCTGGGGAGTCAGAAGACGATCTCTTAAAGTTCCAGAGACAGTTTCTTGCTGCTGGTGGTTCTGCAGCTGCAAAGGTTGTGAGGAAAGCCGATAAGAGGAAAGGATCCGAGGATACTAGCGAAGAGACCAGTGGAGGAACAGAGGAGAGAGATGTCGTTTCCATTGAAGGTATAGATGGGTTTTGTGTACATTCACAGTACGTCTTATTACGTCTTATTTTTTTACTTCTTATTGTCTGATGAAGCAAACCTGTCATGTGAGAAAAATGTCTTCCATTGCTTTCCTCCTTTTGAATATTCTAGTCGCCTGCCTGTGTCTGGTTGTAGTATATTTTGAGTCCCTGACCAGGGGCCAGGATGCAGATCTAGGAGATTACAGAAAAGTCAGAAATCCTTTTCTAAAAGACAAGGAAAACAACAAAAGCGCCCCAACCCAACAACTGGATGTGGAGGTGTAATTGGTAAAAGGATGTCTGTAAATAAATAAATCTACTCACATGATGCTGGTGGGGACCAGGAATCGTGTGGTCTTAGTGGAGGATCGGTGATATGGGCTGCAGTCTCCTATTGGCTGTGGTTAGAATGCCGTGTGTGGAGAACAGGATTACTGCAAGAAGTATAGGATGGAGAAGGCAAGGCTCGCTGTTGTACCGGGTAGGGAAGTATGGTTTGTTGCCTCGAGGCAAAGGACATTGAGGCTGGCAGCTAATGTGTCCATGAGCGAGTGTATAGTGACCGGGAATCGATTTACAGTCCGGTGTCAGCGCTGGAAATGAATGTAATGCAGTTTGTTGGAGGAATGCTGCTGAATAAACGGCTGCAGTCACAGTGAGTGGGAGCGACATGTATGATGAGGAGTCCTGACGATCTGACAGTGGTGAGCTCGTGTGATCTGCCAGTGTCAGGCTGAATCACACCTTTGACACCTGTGCCTTCAGCCTGACCGGCAGATCACTAGGGCTTACCGCTGTCAGATCATCAGGACTCCTCATTCAAGAATAGTTTGAGGAACACAGCAATGAGTTTGAGGTGTTGACTTGGCTTCAGAATTCTCCAGATCTCAATCCGATCGAGCATCTGTAGGACGTAGTGGAAAATCTGATCCATGGGGCCCCACCTTGCAACATACAGGACTTAAAGGATCCAATACTGATAGCATGGTGCCAGATAACACTCCATACCTTCAAAGGTCTAGTGGAGCCCATGCCTCAATGGGTCAGGTCTGTTTTGGCTGCAAAAGGGGGGGCCTATTAGGCAGGTGGTCATAGTGTTATAGTTAATCGGTATATATTATTTGCATTAACATTTGTTTTGGGTGTGCTTAGTAATCAGAATATGACATGAAGATCAGTGCTTAACCCCCCTCCAGCTACATTGCTTAACTGTAGCTGAAGAGTGCTGCTGCAAAGCTGCTTGTAACATGCTGAAAGTTTTACAACTGCTTTGCATAGGATTGTTATAGAAGCTGAAGCCCATTTGAACCTGACCTTTGCAGTAGTTCTAGAAATGCTGGTTTATTTTCATTATGTAAATAATGCATGTAAAAGATTGTGTGTGTGCTTTTCATGTTTTCTGAAAGTAACTACATTTACTACATCATTACACTATGCCTTGCCTTTACAATTTTATATTCTCTACCCAAAATTATATGTTTTCATTTGAGACGTGGTGGGATATGGCATAATCCACAGCTGGGTCTTTAAAGTTCTCTAAACACTCAGGCCTCGTTCAAACCAGATGCAGTGCGTTCCAGCCTGATTCTGACCAGAACGCATTGCCGGCTCGCCACACCAGATGCAGTGCGTTCTGGCCTGACTCTGACCTGAACGCATTGCCGGCTCGCTTTTTTGTGGGGCAGGAGGGGGTAAGGCGGTCCATTGAAGTGAATGGCACCATAGCCACGACCTCCGGGCGCAATGCCATCGGCCGCACGTGATCGCAAGGCACATTATACCTGCGGTCCGTTTCGTTCAAAAGGCTGCAAGCACTATTTTGATCGGACTGGACCATCCTTAGCCTGGTTGTGACAGGCTGAGCTCACTTTCTCAGCTGATGTGTGATCAGCTAAAGTAAAATATATATTGCTATGGAGAATGCACTAAAAGGCAGGAAATACAGCATCCCTAAACCACCTAATGGAAATGTTCTGTAGGATTATATAGATAGTCCACTTCAGTTAGTGACTGAAGTGCCAAGTTCAACTTTTCGCAAATCTTGCTGTTAGAAAAGCTCTAAACTTAGTGTTCATTGTATAGTATCACAGATTACTCACAGATTTTATAATTGTGCATATTAGCTTATGTACAGATGTATAAATAACCTTCTCCATGTTTCATAAAGCAGCATTAAGATTAACATGATGACTAAGATGCAATAAACATTCTCTTATATTTGTTTTCTTTTAGATTTCTCTGACTTGCCTCCAATCTTAACACCAGGGCCATCCAAAAAGTCAAAAGTTGCTGAAACACGAGTACGTTTTGCTGAAGAAGATCCAGAAGATATATTGGAACAGCATGACCAGCATATCACTGCAGTTATCTCAAAAATCATTGTGAGTTTTTTTGTTTTTATCTACTTTGTTTTTTTAATCGACTACAGCCAAATAACAGATCAACTCAAGCCAAAATAAATATATATATATATATATATATATACATACACATATACATATACATATATATATATACTCACACACTGAGTGGCCAGATTATTATGACCACCCCATCAGTACTTTGTTGGCCCACGAGATAACTTTGTTTGGCCGTCTCGTGACTCCACGAGATGTTGAAAGGTGATGCGAGGAATCTGACACTGCACTGTTGCCCTTCTGTTGTCTTGTCACCAGTCTTGCTACTCTCCGTTCTGCCCTAACATTGGCTTGTCGCTGACGGCCACAATTCGCACGTTCAGACCCAGATTTTCGGCTGACAGTCCAGTCTTTAAACACTTTAACAACAGCTGCTCTTGAACATTTAACGAATTCTGCTGTTTTGCTGATACTCGCTCCATGGCTTGAGCGCCAACAATCATCCCACGTTCAAAGGCTGTTAAATCGCGTTGTTTACCCGTATCTTCAGAAAAAAATCACTTCTACTGTCGTGGTAAACAACCTGCTTCCCTATTTATAATGGTCTGGCCCTCTAGCAACTTCAGCACCAAATTATAGCTAATTTGCCTACAAACGTCAGGTGGTCATAATAAACTGGCCACTTAGTGTATATATAACAATCATGTGCCGAGCTAAATAAATGTAAACAATTCAGTAAAATATGTGATATACCAATAAGATATATGAGTATATGCTTTACAGTATATACAAAAGAGCATATCAAAACATGAAAAGATGTGAACAAAGTGATAAAAACAGGAAAAACATGAAAAAGTCCAATGTGCAACAATTATAATCGTGCAAATAAATGCAGGGGATAGTCCGCCACTAGATAGATCCAAACTGCCACAGAATCCTGACAGACTTTCACCTCCACCCAGTGAATGCAAATTTTGGAACAGTGCTCGCCTGGGGAGATAGACCCACAGAACTAGGTCTCAAAGCGCGTTTCCGTTCTTAATAGGGGACGGAAGCCCGTATGACTGAAGACCAGATAACCTCCTCAGCTCGCAAATAACGTCATCATTTCAAAGGGAGACAAAATATAAAGAGGACATAGTGCGTATCGTCCAAAAAATACAATTTATTGAATAAAAGCAGGTACTCACAATGTCACAGGTGACAAAAGGCATAAAACAAACATCCAATGGACACCACAGTACGTATCTATGGGTGCAAAGGGACTCCTGTCCATCCGGCTCAGCTAAGAGTGGCGTCAAATGCTCAGCCCTATGTACGTTATGTCTATGCACGACTTCGTCACATATTGTTTAGATAGATAGATATATATAAAAAATATAGAGAAAAATTCCAAAAGTTATGAGGCAGCTGTCATTTTTAAGGAGCCCACGGAGCTCCTAGGATATGTGCATCCCTATTTTAATGCATTATTATTATTTTTTATAAATATATATATATAAGAGATGCATCGATACCATTTTTACGAGTACTGATACATTTTTGTTCATTGTCATGTGACAGTTTTTCTAAAATAATACAGACTAATGATTTCAGGACAGTGGGGGAGCACCAGAGCCAGGTCACAGCTGCAACCTCTGCAACCCTGGTAGTTCTCATGAAAATGCAATGTATCGGCACTGGTATCTGAACATCCCTAATAACAAATAATTTATATATACTGTGTGTGTGTGTGTGTGTGTGTGTGTGTGTGTATTTATTTTGACTGTTTGAATGTCTTTGTCTGTTTTCAGCTAACAAAGCTGTACTCTAATATTTCATTTATTATTTTCTTTCTGTGTCTGCAGGAGCGGGACACTAGTGCCGCCACCATCACAGCACCTGTTCCTACAGGAGAGCCATTTCCTCGGGTCTTCCACAGATCAGAGATACCTAGTGGGGTGAGAGAGTGTTTTTTTCCTGGAAAACTAATCAGTGCATCAGGTTGTCATTGTCCTATATGAAGTATATGTGCTATATGTTGATCTGAATGGAAGTATGTATTTAGAATGAGATGGAAGATGCCATACCTGATCTCCTGAAAACGTTACTTGCTTGCCTGTCTATGACTTCTGTATTTTCTGAGTCACTGACCTGAAATATGCAAGCAATCGGTGAAGTTAGAATTACTAATCTGCTTATTTGTTTCAGGTTATGGTATTAGAAATGACTGAAGACAGTGAATAGACATGACAGCCAGGCAAATAGCATTTTCAGGAGTGTCACGTATCCGGAGCTTTTATATTTCCCATTATGTTATCTCCATTGGTTCACTCATTTTAAAGCAGTGGTTCTCAACCTGTGTAACCTCAGGACCCACATTTGTCCTTGGTCATTAAGTCACGACCCAAGTCGCATTGCAATGGAACGCACGGCATTAGTGTACCTCGGGTGGGAGGTGTGTTTGGGGTACCATTCAAATGAATAGCAACGCAACACCCCTCCCACACCAGAATGCAGGATTGGTGCGATCGCGTGGTTCACGCTAAGCGATTAACGCACTGTACTAGTGTGAATGGGCCCTTCAAAACACTGGCATACATACACAACCACAGACACAATCTCACATTTTCACAGACATTCTCACATACACACGCCAAACAATTTTACATTTTTTTTATGGTCCACCCAGTCTCCCTACCTGACGAGAAGTGGAGTAGATCCTCAGCATGGGCTCCAGTGTGGGCTGCTGTGCTTTGACGGAGCTCCACCCATATGTGCATTGCTTGTACAGCTCCCTTGCGTGCTCTGTAGATGTGACGGGAGCCAGAATGTGATGTCACTCTGGTACTACAGGACACGTTAATGAGCTATAGGCAATGCACGTATGGATGAAGCTCCTTCGCGGCCATATCCCCAGCCCACCCCACCTCAAGCTGACACTCGGCAACATATTTTAAATGGCTGCTTGGTGCGAGAACTGACAGTGCTGCGCTAGGGGGAGGCAGAGGATCCTCTCACCTAGCAAAGTGGAAGCCATGCAGCGACCCACTGAACACGCTGTCACGACCCACTGAACACGCTGTCACGACCCACTAGTTGAGAACCAAGGCTTTAAAGTATCCCTTTCTGCCTTGGAGAAGCAAGCTAGCCTGCTGCTTCACACATCTCTTACTCAGACTCATCATGCTTAATGGACCCATAGTTAGGTGTAAGATTGGACGGGATAGCCCTCTGCTGTTTTGCATGTTAGCCATCCCAAGGTAGTTAAGAGGACAGCTTTTTATGGATTTTGCAGTCTTACCAAACCCTCTCCAAGAAAACTATGAAAAGAGATGGTACTTCTCTTTGTAAAATAAACAGCAATGCCTTTATTCAAACCAGTAAAAAAAAACTACTTATGAACTTGTATAACAAAAGGCTTTTTAAAATCCTTTTAATATATGTGTGTGAGTAGTTTCAGTTATATCAGTTTGTGAGTGTTGCTGGTTTTTTTTTTAAGATGCTTTTTATTGAATTTTGTAATAAAATATACAAATAAACAATATTAATCAAACGTTTCCTACTAGTGCTTGCTGTCTCATGTACACTAGAATAGTAAAACAAGGTAAGACAATGTCCCAAAGACAGTCAATAAAATATCAGAAGAGGGAGTAGCATACTGACACCATTTCCAAAGGAAATTTAAGGGAGATCAACAGTTGTATTAGTGGAAGATAACCGAGGACCCCATATACTCTCGTATTGTTCATAGGTGATCTTATAGAGAAGCAGGGATTTGTCAACTATGTGTTTCCAGCAACTCAGGGAAGGAGCCTCAGGACTACTCCAGAGTTTTGCTGTTTATTACACAAAGAGAAGCGTTATCCCTTTTACTTTTGAAGGGATGATGGCAATCGCTGGGTAAGGGTGGAAGGTTAGCAGCTACTGGAGAGGGGTTAAATTGCACAGCGTGTGGAATTGGAACTGTTGAGTGAAGGGCCCCAGAGTGCATTGGAACGCGTAAGTCGCCATCGGAATGAACTATGTTTTCTCGCAATCATTAAACTGCGGAGACTTACTGTTACAAGGAAGCATGTTGATCTGGTGAGCAAAGTACTTTGCCGCTGTGTTTTCAGTTGGAGCAGTAATGCTATACATCTGAAAATTGTGATATTGTACTTGTGCAAGAGAAGGTCATTACCATTTACTGCCAGCAAGAGTTATTATTTCTGTGGACATTCTATAATGACTATTGAGGGTGGACTAGGAACGAACGGGGGAAGGGGCGGGTACAGCTGGCTCTGCCTCTGGATAAGCTCAATAGATCGGGAAGTGAGAGAACACAACGTCACTCGCTCACTTCTCGATCCTGTCCCTGCAAAGAGCCGTGACTGTCACGGCTCCCTGCAGGGATTCCTCCCCGCTCCGATCCTCCAGCGCTGACTCGAGATACGAACGGGGGAATGGGCGGGTACAGCTGGCTCTGCCTCTAGATAGGCAGAGCCAGCTGTTATTCACGCAGCTGGCTGGATCTCGACAGTAATGTCGGGATTCGTCTCAGCTGCGACGGTCTCCGGATACCGCGAGCTGTAGCTCGCGCTATACTGAGCTTTGGTTCACGGGTGGACGATAGTTTATGTCCTCCCGTGACCATGAGGAGAACTATAGTGAAAAACACTGACCCCATAGTTCTCCTTTTAATAGTTAAGGTACCTGGATGCATTTTTAAGATTTACCACTCGAGTTTAGTGTTACTTTGAGCTCTATGAAATATTAAACAAAAGCACTTGGCGTAGCTTTTGTTTCACAGGGCTGCAGTCACCATTGGTTGCAGGTTTGGTCCACTTTGAAGTTGCAGCCTTGTTCTCCATCCACAGCATCTTCAAGTGGGTTCTCCTAGTAGGGATATCACTGAAGCAAAGTGAGACTTTGGAATTTGGGTGTCAAATGCGCAGCAGCAATTTAAACTTGTGCAAGCTTTTAGGATTTATCTGTTCTTTTTAGTTTACTTGTTATTGAGATGTGTTCACAAAAAGCATTATGTAAACATGTGCACTGTCATTGTATTTACTCATGCTATTTACCCATCTCAGTCCAGTGTAAGCTGCACACAATATACACAATTCCTTCCTTCTGTCGCTGCAATCTGGTCCATCTTTTACATAGCGCCATTAAACCATTTTTAGACGTCGGTGACATTGCCTGCGAATACATGATCCAATGACATAGTTTCCTTGGAAACCATAAAACATGATGGATTTCTCTGCGTGCCCGGTGAAGACAGCTCATTAGTGAGGAAAGCATTGGAATGGAGCCTGCTGCAGACACTTTTAATTTCATCAAATGACACATGGCTTATAAAAAGCATCGTAGCACAGGAGGCACCTGCAGTAACAAAATCACCATCAGGCCTTCCAGGTTTAGATATTTCCTTTCATTGCTTTATAGGGTTTATCTGTATCTTTTTCATACCTTTTAAGTTCTCCAACAGACAAGCAGATGTTTCAGCCATAATGATGTGAGATGAGAGATCTACTGTTCCAGCAATAAAAACATTTTAGTGGTCACACATGTTCATTTTTGCTTGCAAGGGATCCTTTATCCTTGTAATTATCACAATCATTGCTGCTGCATGTCAATGTCAATAAGTGACAGTAGTCGGTATTTTGCTTACGGGGCTGCCCTTACTGTTTGTAAAATATAGTTTTCCGGTGAGCGGAAAAAAAGAAACGTTCCTTCTTTAGCAGAGCCCACCCTTGTCACTTGTAAACTACATAAACTTGACTTCTTTGCTTGCTTAGCATACACATGGAATGCTGAGAATGAGCTTGCAAGAGAACTATGGCCTAACCTTTTTTTTGACATAGTTCTTATCAGGGCCACAGGAGGACATTTACTATTGTCCTCCAGTGACCCAAAATTTAGCATATAGCGGGCAATGCTGAGAGCGCAGAGCCGCAGCCGGGACGGATCCTGACAATACTGTCGAGATCCGCCCCGCTGGCTGATTGACAGCTGGCTCTGCCTCTCTGGAAGCAGAGCCAGCTGTGCCCGCCCCGTCCCCCATCCGTTCCTCCAGTCAGCACTGGAGAAACAGAGAGGGAGGGGGGATCCCTGCAGGGAAAGGATCGGAATGTCAGCAAACAGGGGTATGTGTTTGCTGACTTTCCAATCAATAGAGCTGACCTGTGGCAGCTTCAGTGTCATAGGTCGGCTTGAATTATGGGGATGAGTGTTTTTGTAAACCCTAAGGCTTCATTCACGCTAGGCAATTTGGGATTTGGGAAGCCTAACTCGATCACTTTTAATCTTCTAAAGCAGTGGTTCTCAACCTGTTTAACCTCGGAACCCACATTTGTCCTCGGTCATTAAGTCGCGACCCAAGTTGCACTGCAATGTTCCCTGTTGCGGTACTGCGCTTTCCGGTGCAGGCGATCGAACTGTGGGCAGGAGGTGTGTTTGTGTTGCCATTATGCAAATTGGAGTGGATCCTCAACCTGGGGTCCAGTGTGGGCTGCTGAGCTGTGATGGAGCTCCATCCATATGTGTATTGCTTGTAAAGCTCCCGTGTGTGCCCGTAGAGGTGCCGGGAGCCAGAAGGTGATGAGCTGTAAGCAATGCAGGTATGGATGGAGCTCCCTCGCGGCCATAGCCCCACCTCAAGTTCATATTTTTGAATGGCTGCTCGGTGCGAGAACTGACAGTGCTTCTCTGAGGGGAGGACAAGGATACTCTCACCTAGAAAAGTGGAAGGCATCTGGCGACCCACTGGACATGGGGCCGAGACCCACTTTTGGGTCACGACCCACCAGTTGAGAACCATGGTTCTAGAGGGTTGTGCATCATAAACAAGTACAGTTTTCTTATTAATTAAATATTTTCCACTTTTTTCATAGTTTGTTGCATTTCAGCGCTAATGATCTCCTGCAGCCTCTTTGCAGCAACATCCTTTCTACATGTACTCCAGCGATGGCTGCATTGCGTTTATCAGGATGGTTTTCCTGATGGTGACAAGAGTAGACCATGCCTATGATATGTGTGCTAAAATGGTCTTTTGCAGTCTCTTTTGAAAGCCTGTGTAACAAAGTGACAACGCAGGAACACGGTTGTTAGAGGATAACCTGTAAGTGCCAGAAACAGGACCTTTATGGCAGGACCACCTAGTGTTATTTTAAGAAAAGCTGTAGATTTTAAAAAAAATGGAAATAATTTTGAAATTACATTCTAATGAAAATGTATTACAATTAAGGTTTTATAGCAGGTACTCAACGCTTTGTAGCATTTGTCACTGAATGGTGGTGTACATAAAAAAAGTATTTTTTCACTTTTTCTGTATTTCTGTCGTTGTAAATTGTGCAAAAAAAAAAGTGCAAGAAATATATCAGGCTAACAGTGGGAGCACTTGCACTCGCTGGTGCAATTAAGTAAAGGCAGAAGAGGGGTGACTGACACAGAATCAGATCTGTAGAATACTAGCAGAATTTTCTATAGCAGTCAAGTAGTTTGCAAACTGTGATGGAATAACCTCAATGCAAGTGATTCTCAGTTGTATATGTTGTGTTTTTGTCTTTTTCATGTCACTGTTAAATGTGGAGCATTTGTTTTCTGTTCATGTCATACAGACTACACCAGGAATTGGGAAAGTCAGTATCTTTGCTCAAAAAATGGCTGCTAAGAGGGCTACTGAAGCAGCAAAGAAAGCGGAATCTTCCTCGGTCCTCCCCCATCCAGAGCACTTTGTCAGTCCTACACTTGTCCTCCCTGATGAAAGCAAATCTTCCCATTTGAAAGGTAGGTCACCAGACTGGTAAAAGGCATAATGCTGCAAATGCAAGAAAAATGGCAGCTGCTTGAGCGAGGTAAAACATACATGTGCAGTACAATGTGGGAGAGGTATTCACCAAGTGCAGAAACCAAAATTCACTCTGTGTATTCATCCACCAGCACCTATGTCACTGCCGGACATTGTGATAAAGAGGCTAGTGGGTTGAACCAGAGCGAGCAGGGGAAACCAGACATCCAACATTCATGAAAGTGCGCCAGATGCTAAAGATGAAAGCAAAGCTTTCCATTTGAAAGGTAGGTCACCAGCATGTGAAAGATCGGTAAAAGACATTATGCTGCAAATGGAGGAAAAATGGCAGCTGCCTGATCGAGGTAAAACATACATGTGCAGTACAATGTGGGAGAGGTATTCACCAAGTGCAGAAACCAAAATTCGCTCTGTGTATTCATCCGCCAGCACCTATGTCACTGCCGCGAATAGTGATAACAAAGAGGCTGGTGGGTGGAACCAGAGGGTGCAGGGGGGACCAGACATCCAACATTGCATTGCGAAAGTGCGTCAGATGCTGAATATTCTTCAGCCACTGTATGTTTTTTAAGAGAGAAGATCTTGTGTGTTGTGGTGCACTGCAGTGTATTGCCTGCTAATATAACTGTGCATTTGGGTGCCACTCAAAATGATTGGCACTGCAACACACCGCGCTCAAATTTCTCATTAACTGTTCGTTGCAGTAACATGGTATAATGTGTGACCACAACCCTTTAATGTGATTTGTCCTAACTGTTCTACTCCTGTAAGGAAAGTAGGTAAAAATCTTACTGATGTGGAGTGATTTGAAAATCTCCTGCTTTATATTAAGAATGGATTTCTCTATAAGGAGACCAGAATAGGCAAAGTGTTAAAAAAAGAAAAACCCTCCACCCACTCATAATCACTGTCCCGGCCAATGTGTTTTTCTGCTGGAGTCAGGAGTCCTAACCCTGTGTAAAGGTATTTGTCAGATAGTGCCTAAGCTTACACAAGGTTATTGTCTCCTTCCTTTCCCTCATTATGTGACAGTGTTTGGGCCTGGTGATTGGCTTACAGGGCCTGAACACTATACCCTGGGAGAAGGTCACAAGCTTCTCCATACCTGTAGCCACTAAGTATTTACAGAGGGCTCAGAAAGAGGAACTAAGGTGAGTAACAGGGGAAGCAGAGCTTCTTACAAGTCAACCTCTTGGGGCAAAGTACCCTATTCAGTTAAAGTAGCTGTTTATGGTTGTTAAAATTATAGTTATTTTAGGATGTCAGTCTGAGGACATGCCTGCATATGTATGCATGTATATTTATTGTAATTTGTTGAAACAGAAAATGTTTTATTGTTGGTTATTCTCCTGTGTTACAGGTGAGAGAGGGGAAGACAAGCCCCATCTGATTACAGGAGAAGGTCTGCGTAGTTTAGAGGGTCATGAAGAGGCGCAGAGGATCCATGAGGAGAATGTGAACAAGCTAAAGGCTCTGTCGGAGGAGGAGATCCTGCAAGAACGCCAGCGGCTTCTCTCACAGCTTGGTAATATACAGCTTAATTGGTCAGTGAATGTGATCAGCTGGGCGGAATTGAAATTAATGCAGTACTATAATATAGCTTGGTTTTACTTTACATAGGAATATGTAGGGACAGAATAAGAATTGTATCTATGTTGAGTATTGGATAGAACTGCACCATCTAAAGTTTTACCATTAAAGCTGAACTCCAGGCAGATTTAAGGGACCCACAATAATGCAGCTCAGTGAAAAAATATATATACAATGTATGTGTGTGTATATGTGTCCTCACACACCGCTCTGCCGGACTGTGATAGGAGGCTGAGCGGTGTGGGAGGAGAGACGCCTGCCACTCACAGCGCTCTCCTCCCACAGAGCTCGCCCGGCTGTCACACTTTTCTCCTCCCCGCTGGGACACAGAGCAGCGCCCAGCGGGGAGGAAAGAAAGCAGGGATGCGCCGATGTATCAGCAGGAAAATGGCACTTTAGGCATTTAGCCAAAAGTGCCATTTTCGGCCGATATATCGGTGCATCCCTATATATATATATTTTCTCTCTGTCTGTGCCCCCACTAAGGAGATTTTCCTTTTCTTTGTCCTGGTAACCATTGCCACTAGGAGTGAAATCGTGGGGAAATCCAACATTCTGAGTTAGCAGAACAGCAACAGATAGGAAATCTTCCAATGGATACGTATCTTCCAAAGCAAGACGGTATTTCTTCTTGCTTTGGAAGATTTCTTATTTCCTGTTTGTCTTCAGAAAACCTACAGTACTTTTACCCATTCCCTACTCTATCTGTATTTGATTCAGATATACTTTAATTCATCCATCCGTTATACAATTGAAAGGTTCTGGAATCGGTAAGCCACTGTTTATTTGTGCCTTGCATTTGCCTTAGCCACTAAGGATTTGTGATGTTTTCATTGCTTTGGTGGGATATTGTTATCCATTTTAAGCTGCAAGGATATAGATTTTTATAATGGATTTCCATTTTTATTAGCCAGCCCTTCTAAATATTATTTAAGCAATTGTGACAGACTGAATAATTCAGCTTAATGGTGCAGTATCTCATTAGGCAATAAAGCATGCTGTCCATTTTATTGATTATGGTTGTCAATATATTGACAAAGTAATACTTGAAGGTTTTGCACCCATGATTATTTCTAGGATTTTTCATGTCATTTTCCTTCTTTTAGACCCCAAGTTGGTTGCTTTTTTGAAATCAAAAAGTAAAGACCCAGACACCCAGAGGTATTCAAACATTGGCGACACAACCAGTGGTCCCCAGTCTGTCAGCTATGAATCTTCTGGTTCTGCCACACAGGCACAAGCAACAAAGGAGATTCCTGAAGCGGAAGAAGAAAATCTAACTGCTTTGTCAGGTAATCATTCACCATCATGACTGCACCTCTGCAGAGCCGATCAATAGCACTAAGTAGCTGTTATGATTTCAGCATAGGAAGTAAACAATTTAGTAATAGACCTCTTTTCCTGCAGTTCTCTCTGCCCCCCTCCACTGTAATAGTCTTAATCCTTATTATACCCTTAACAATTTTACATTTATAATTAGGGATGCACCGATACCGAGTTTTTGGGCGAGTACTCATACTCGCCCAAATGCTCCAATTCTTACCCCCGATACCAGAACTTCTGCTCAGAGGGAGATTTCCTCTGACTGGCAGTGACGCGAGGAAACATGGAGTCAGTTTTCCGGCCAATCAGGAAGCCGGGTGGAGGGTAATGACTTGCCGCCCGGCTTCCTGATTGGCCGGGAAACCTGATCCAAGCTTTTTGGCCGGCTCGATGCTGATTGGCCGGGAAGCCAGCTTTTAGATGAAGCCCTGAGATCTTGAGGAATGCTGAATTAAGTTTTACTTGCTTAGAAGGACATTACATAGACACTATATTGCCAAAAGTATTGGGACGCCTGCCTTTACACGCATATGATCTTGAATGGCATCCCAGTCTTAGTCCATAGGATTCAATATTGAGTTGGCCCACACTTTGCTAGAGCAACTTCAACTTCTCTGGGAAGGCGTCCACAAAGTTTAGGAGTGTGTCTATGGGAATGTGTGACCATTCTTCCAAAAGCGCATTCGTGAGGTCAGGTGCTGATGTTGGATGAGAAGGCCGGGCTCACAGTCTCCGCTCTAATTCATCCCAAAGGTGTTCTATCGGGTTGAGGTCAGGAATCTGTGCAGGCCAGTCATGTTCCTCCACTCCAAACCCGCTCATCCATGTCTTTATGGACCTTGCTTTGTGCACTGGTGCGCAGTCATGTTGGAACAGGAATGGGCCATCCCCAAACTGTTCACACAAAGTTGGGAGCATGAAATTGTCCAAAATGTCTTGGTATGCTGATGCTTTAAGAGTTTCTTTCACTGGAACTAAGGGGCCAAGCCCAACCCCAGAAAAACAACGCCACACCATAATCCAATCCACACCATGAATCCAATGATTTGGAGGGGTGTTCCAATACTTTTGGCAATATAGTGTATGTATACAGGAATAAAGCATTATCAGGAAACATATACAGATAGAACTTCCTGTGTATATCATAGATAAAACATGCATAAAATAGAGACTAACATTGCACTACAGCGCCATCTAGTGCTCAAAAGACATAGTTACAGTATATGCTGATGTATTTCCTACATAAGCCACACGTGCAATTGTTTTGTTAGTGTTGTTCTGCCTAGGCATCATGTGTTCAACTCAGTAGAACCCATTCCTTGACTGTTGTGTGTCATGCTTGAGAAACTGAAGTTAAACACAGTGGTTTTTTTTGATCACGTTGCCTTACCAAGATTACACAGCCTAACCAGATTTCTGAAAAAAATAATATATTTTACTATTAACAAATTTCAAGGAAAAATTTTGATGCCTACTATTATCTTTTCTGTTTAAAGTTTAAAAAAATACTAAAGCCCCTGGGGCTGGACATCCTACTTGTAGAAGTGTATAAAAAGTATAAGCAAGAACTGCCACCACCCTATTGCAAACCTATAATGAGTCTAAATTTGATTGATGATTCCCCAGAGGAACTAATCCATAATGCACTTATGTCGTGGTCGTGGTCCTCAACATTACATGAAAATGAACATGTCTCAGTCGCTAACTAATTGCATATGAACCAAGAAAGTTGCATTATATAGTAATGCACAAGCCAAAGGAGTTGCTGATGACTGAAGACGTGTATGATTAAACAAAATAATTTTATTTTAAACACAACTTCAGTTGGTGCACCATTACCCAAAGCACCCTTCTTCGGGTAATGGTGCAACAATTGAAGTTGTGTTACAATAAAATTATTTTGTTTAATCATACACGTCTTCAGTCATCAGCAACTCCTTTGGCTTGTGCATTACCATATAAACACAGGAAACCTATAATGAGTTCTATTTCACTGGCTCGCTACTTGCGTCTATGCAGGAGGCTGTAGTGGTGGTATTACCAAAAATAGGGAAGATTCCTTATTGCCAGAATCTTATCATCTAGCTCGGGGCTTCTTAATGTTTGGGCCGCGAAACTGAATGTGGGGGGTCGCGGCGAAAAATCTGAATCCCCGGTTGGGATCGGCAAGGTGTCCGTACACGGACACTGGTGTCGGTGAGTGGCACTTGTGGGTTCGCCGCTGCCGTGGCGTACAGTACACAGGGCTAGGGTTGTAACTTGGTACGGTCCCAAGCGGAGCTTGCCTTTTAGCAGGCTGAAACGCTGTAGAGCAAAGTGGGACTCGGTCGGGAATGGAGGCCGCTGATGTGGTAAGCAAATGTCTATTCTGGGGCTGGGTTAGCAGGGGAACACAACACAGAGGTTCTTCTAACCCTTCCCCATGCTATCTAGAGCACAAAAACAAAAAAAGTTTTCCCAGGAGTTGGGCTTTAAAAGTTATTTTTTAAATTTCAAACTGTCAGGACAAAATCAGACTGTGTCCAACCTAAGCTCTGCTCTTTCTTACAGTTTCCTGCAAAGTCTTTGAAACCTTGTGCAGAAAAAACAACTTCACCGTGCGTTTTAGTGCGGGCGATCACACTGCGGGCGGGGGGAGCATTTGGGGTGCCATTGAAATAATTGGCACTGCAACAGACGATAATGAGAAAAGTTGACAACTGTTCTCATCGACTATTATCGATTAATCAATTAGTTGGTTGCAGCCCTAGTACCCTGCTTGACTTATTTGCTGCTTCCTGGCTTTGCATGCTGTTACTAAGGTGACAGTCCACTAGATGCTAAGGTGACAGTTTACATAGAGTTTCTGTGGGCTCAGTGATCCCATACTGGATCAGCTGCCTTTATATGTCACTTTGCTGCCACATTCTGGTGTGAATATTTGCTGCTGCTGATTGCTGTGTATGGCTACCTGTGATCTGGTAGGATCTTACCTATATGCCACAGGAAACCCCCACACTCTTCTCTAGCTAATTTCAACCATTTGGCACCTTCCTATATGCTCCTGCCTGGCTTAATTCATGTTGGCACTTGTTCTACTTCAGATAAAAACGAATTTTTCATTATGGAGGGCACAGCACTTTATGTACAATTATTTGAAGTATTTAATTATTTTTTTTCTTAAATACGGTTTTATTTATGTCCTTTTTTGGCAGTATTACAAAACGAAAACAATAACTCAAATCCCATTACAGCAAAAACATCAAAGACATATTTATTGCAGAAGTACAAAGAAGTCAAGTCAGGATTTACATCCAAATGTTTTCGATCTCAGGTCATCATAAATTGCTAAGCTGCACCAATTGTTGACAATCTGTAATAGCATAACAATTGGTAATGAGGACTAAGGAAAATTCTTTGATAAATATCCATATGAGCATACACTGCACCAAACTGAGCCTTATTATTATCACACTGCAGCACTTCATTTGCAACTGGAAGTTGTCCTTGACAGTGGTGTGGCGTTACCAATTCATGGTTTATTGTGCAATTTGTACCTGTTGTGAGGTCTCAAGGACTAGCTCTAGTTGTGGTTTGTTAGAAATGTGTATAGTAACGGTCGCTTTTAATACGTTTGTAATGTCTGTATTTGTTTTAATATAGTTGATGATCTTCCAGTAAAGCCTCAGAAGGAATGGGTACACATGAACACAATGGAGTTTGAGAAGCTGGAGTGGATAAAGGATCTGCCCCAAACTCGGCAAAAGAAAACAAAAAAGGTGTTATATGAATATGACTCTCGCGGTCTGGCTGTTTCTTCAGACAAACCAAGAAAGCCCTGTGCACTCTATATAAAACTGCTGCCTTAGGATGCAGTTGGGGCTTTTTGAACTGAGCTACCTCCTGATAGACTTTACTTATTCTTGTTACAGTAGTAGCACATTCGGCTTTCTGGTCTAGAGTGTATGTTTAGTGTACACTTATTTTCAGGTGTTGTATTTTTTTTCTCTTGAATTAATTTTATTGTAACTACAGATGCACCAATGCCGATACTAGTATCAGTGCCGATGGCGAGTACTCATACTCGCCCAAATGCTCAGATGCATAGCCCGATACTTGAGCTTCCGGTAATAGGAAGCCGGGAAGCGAATCATTGCACACTGCCCGGCTTCCTGATTGGCCGGGAAGCCGTCTCCACGCTCCCTAGGCACTTGTGTCCAGGGAGCATGGAGCCGGACAGCCTGTCATTACACGCCCAACGGCTTTCTGATTTGGCCAGAAAAAGACAGCTTCATGCTCCCTGGTGACGAGCATGGAGCCGGCTTCCCGACCAATCAGGAAGCCGGGCGTCATGTAATGATGCGTGGCTCGGCTTCCTGATTGGCCAGCTTCTCAGCCAATCAGGAAGCCGGGCAACGCGTCATTACACAGCGCCCGGAATCCTGATTGACCAGAAAGCCGGCTTCATGCTCCCTCGTCACCTGGTGATGAGGAGCATGGAGACGCCTTCACTATTTATTGGGAAGCCAGGTGGCTAGTCTTTACATGCCGCCCGGCTTCTCGGCTAATCAGGAAGCCAGGTGGCGAGTCATTACACGCCACCTGGCTTCCTTAATAGGACTTGCAGTATCCGTATTCGGTATCGGCGAGTACCTAAGAAAAAAATATCGGTACTGTTGCTTTTAGGAATGTATGGTTGTGAAGTGTGATGATCAAAATCCTTTTGCAGTGCTTGAACTGAACAATTGGTGGATTGGGTAGGAGACTCTGCATTACTTGTAAGTAAACTTTGCAGAATAAGGTCCTATATTATAAAGTACAATGGCTCTCCTAAGGCGGCTCTTAAACACAAAAGGGTATTCGGGCATAATGGAGAGAATCCAGCAGGTGATGTTAAGAAAATTGAGAGTCACACCAATGTTTTTATCGTGGTTGGAAGGTATTTTATATCTTCCTAGAGGTCCAAGTCAACAAGCTGAAATGTGTAATAGAATAAATATTTTCAAACTACAAAACCATTAGTGTGGCAATCCTGTTTTCACACACTTCTGTAAAATGTAACTCATCATATTTAGATCTGGACATGGCCTTTATGAATACCGCTGTGCAACCTCTTGATTTTTCAAGTGGTCCTTTACTTAAAGCTAACCTGTGTGGGTAGACAGTATGGAAGCAGACATGGCTGGCTTACCTTCTAATGTCTCCGTGGGCTTTATTTTAACAGTCCAGCAGCATCTTATCAGGGAATGTTAATTAAGGGTCTAAAAGTGTGTACTAATGGGGGTGGGTGATGGAAATCTGGGCCCCTTCTAGCTTCCAATTTCAATGTCAAGGCATTCGTTCTGTGGTCTTTGCTAAAGACAAATATTCAGGCAGACCTTTCTGATTTGCCATCTTTGCGTAAACCTTTCCTAGAAAACCATGGAGGGGAATTAATAAATAGTGTTTGAGGCAAACTGTCTCAACTGGCATGCAGCCAGTCAGCTTTTAGGCTGTGTGTAAAAAAAATGAAAGAAGCTAATGGGTTGTTGTGGACAACTGCATCGGTTGAGATGGAACTTGTCTCAGACTGTCTTCTGGGGTGGACCAAGATTCCTGTTTTTGTTCCCCAGAAAATAAACTGCAGAATTATTTACTCTTTCCTTATATGATGCAGCTTGATTGTTAAAATAATGAATACTATTTAAGTATAGGCCCTTTTTAAATTTGTCTTTAAAAGAGAACTATGGGGTAAGTGAACCCAAAGCTCTTTAGGGTCACGGGAGGACATATACTAACCTCCTCCCGTGGCCTATTGCCCGCGGTTTACTGAGAGTGCCGCAGCCAGGACGGATCCCGACAATACTGTCTGGATCCACCCAGCTAGCTGATTGACAGCGGGCTCTGCCTATATAGAGGCAGAGCCAGCTGTACCCGCCCCCTCCCTCGTTCGTTCCCCCACTCGGCACTGGAGGATCGGGGAGTGGAGAATCCCTGTGGGAGCGGTAACTGACAGTCACCACTCTCTGCAGGGAGATGATCGGAAAGTGAGCAAGCAACAGTATGTGTTCCCCCACTTCCCGATCAATAGAGCCGGCCTCTGGCAGCGTTGTCACAAGTCAGCTCTAACTATGAGGATGAGTGGAAATCATTTGCCTCATAGTTCTCCTTTAAACAAAGGTATAGTCTGTGTAGTGCAACTGGATTTACGAATTACAATATAGCACCATGGAATTTTTTTTTCATATTTTCAAAAATCTTTCTATAGGCTAGTGTTTTCATAGTTCTGAATATTCCAGAAGTATTAGATTAGGTTGGCTCAAATCATTATCTTGTTTCTGAACCAATGTTTTCATACCATGGGTGTTGGTTTTGTGTTAGAATTTTCTTTGTACATTCATTTATACTGAATATTTTGTTTCTTGAACTTTTCTCATATAACACTGACAGGTCATATTTTTGTAGGGTATGCAGGCTCGATTCAGTCTGAAGGGAGATCTGATACCTCCAAATGAAGAGATTCCTACACATATGGGCCTACACCACCATGGAGAGGAGGCAGAGGTGAGCTGAAATTCAAGTGCGCACATTTTATTGCATATTTGACTTTACTAAAATGCATTTATCTGTATTTATTGTCACTAAAAAGAAAAGCAACTAGCAGTTTAAAAAAAAAAAATAGAAATATATATTTTTGAGATCAGGTCAGGAAACCTCCACCAAAAGCTAAAACTGTAGCTTTTGGTTGGGTATCTTCCAGAATAGTATTGCCTGTAGGACAGGAGCACCTTCTTCTTATCCAGTCTCTTATTGGCTGTGTACTTGTCCCAATTTAGTGACTCACTAGGTTACGAATATTGCAATGCATGGGCTGGTGTAATGTCATACAATTTATATACACACACAGTGTGTATAACAGTGTGTGTGAAGAGGAGGCTGACTCGGAACAGTAAGATGCACATTTATTTGAATGAACACGATACAAAAGAAAATGACCTAACTGCTTTAACTGCATCCGGGCCGGCCGTAGTAAAAAAATGGCCGGCCAGGAGCTCTCTCGATCTGAGCGGGCGTCTCTAGACGTCCGCTCAGACACGCCCCCTTGCGCACGCCACCGGGAAATGGCCGGAATTAAAAAACGGGCAGCGATGCCCGTTAATATACATGCGATCCGCCGGCTGTAGAGCCGGCCGATCGCATGTATGGGGTGAGGTTCACAAATACCAAAAGCCCTGCTTTGTCTTTTTTAGCAGTTGACTTTCAATGACTCCAGACACATACTGTACATGCCTAATAGGAGGCTTGTGTATACTTGTGTATACTGCCCAATTTAAACCTTGAAGGAAGCATTTGTAACAAAGTATAACAAACATATATATATATATATATGTGTGTGTGTGTGTGTATATATATATATA